GGGGAGGAAGCATTCAAGAACTAGAGGAAAGTTATATGTTTCATCGTTGCTACCCTGCACCCTGATTGGTTCATCTCCTCCCCACAGCCCTTCAGTAAGGGGGTGTCCAATTGATGACTGATGGGCTTTGAGTCTCCACTCTGCACTCACCCACCTTTACAATGATATGATTTGTTGTTCTTTGATGCTTGAAACCTATCCCTTCGACAGCTCGTGGTCACACAGGCTGGTGTGCTTCTTCCATGTGGGCTTTGTTGCTGCTGAGCTAGTTGGCCGCTTGTTTATCTTCAAGCCATTAAGACCCCAGACGCTATATCTTTTGATAGCCAGGCACCATCAACTTTCTTCACCACATTTGCTTATGGCCACTAACAATTTTTAAAGACCTCAGACACTATTCATCAAAGTTGGTTGTAAAATATCATCTTTGTGAACTATGTTAAACCAGTTGATCTAAATGTGCTTTGAGACTATGGGACTTAGGCATCAAGCCTATAACTTAGTCCCATATAAGAATTTTTATAGGTGTACCCCTATGTCCTATATAACATAATATAATGAATAGAATAACGTTTCTATATGAATAGAAATGCAGTAATACAAATACATGTACGAACGTCCACAACTGTACTTTATGCACATGCATGTCCCCCATACAGACTCCCATGCCTATAGATCATACATATCTACCCATGTAACAACATATGCATTTTAGGTTGCTATTTCTTTAATGCAGAGCTCTGGTGCTGCTGTTGGGTACGTGTTGAGCTGTTGACAGAAAGATGAAGCTTTCTATTTCCATGAAGATTTACAGTCTTTATAAAGCAGTTCTACCCTGTTCTATAGAGTCACTATGAATCCTATAGGGTTACTGAGCTGGAATTGATTCAATGGCAGCAGGACTACTTTAATTCTCTTAATTCCATATGAAATTGGAGATTGTTTTTTCCATTTTATTAAACAATGTTGCGATTTGGTCAGCATTACATTTTCTCTAGATTGCATTGAGTAGTATCCATATTTTCACAATATTAAGTTGTGACATGTCTCTTTGCTTAGTTATTTTCTGTGGCATAATTTGCATATCTAGCATTTCTTTTGACTCCAGTTTGTGAAATATGTCTTCCACTTTGCTGTGACTTTTATTTCATTCTAATTTTCCTAAGATATGTTTTAAACTGAGATTAGGGCATTAAATATATGTATTATTTTCCACTAATGGAAGACTTGAGATTATAATATAAAGACTTATATTATAAGACTTGAGATTTATCATCTCCTGAGCTTCTCCCTTAAGACACATGATGGGTATGAGCCTTTTTTAATACTGGTTTAATGAAACTATTTGTAGTTATTCTTGACTAGGAGGGATCATTGGGTAGAGATGAGCTACTGGCAGAAAAGAAGATGGTGGTGGAGTTGGGAAACGTTTGTGTTTGATTCTCATATTCTTAGACAACATCTTTCATCTTTGCTGTGAGGGACTGGGAAGTGGTAGGGTATTGTTCCTCAATAATAGGGGCAGACAGGCCATGAGAGTTACTGATATGTAGATAGCATTTCAATTATTTATTTAAACTTAATTGTATAGATCTTTGTCTAAAGTGGAGAGCAGTCAGTATTTCCTGGGACATTAGACTTAGTCTAGAGCAAAATGAGGTATTTCAATTTCAGTGTTGCTGTTGTCTTTAGAATCTATTCTCAAAGGAATATTTCAAAGGGAAGGGGATAACAACTAATATATATGTGCTTATATCCATACACAGAAGAAAATAGTGAACTATCAATTACTTGGGGAACATTACGGTTTGGTACTTTATCAGGGAACTTCCAAAGGTTTGTGGAAAATGGAATGATAAGATAATGAAATTTTTTCATGTTGTAGTTAATTAAGCTTCTCGGAATGAAGATTAACAATGGCATTACCATCCACCAAAATTCCATTTTTCTCATTTGTCTATACATATCCACCCACCTACCCACTACCATCAAATTAATTCTGGTTCATAGACATTCTACATAGGGCTTATAAGTCAGTACACCTTATGGGAACAGATGGCCCCCTTTTCTGCAGAGCAGCTGGTGGGGCTTGAACTGTTGATGTTGTGCTTAGCAGTCCACCACTTCCCCAACAGCTTAGTTGATTATTAGGCAATCTACTTTTTTAGAGAAATATCCTGGTAACAATGCCATTTTATCATAGAACATCTTTTAGAGTTTAGGATTCTTGTAGCATAAATATTAAAACATTATTGTTATTTTTTCCCCTCCCTTAGCTAAGAATGCTTCTCAGGAAATAATAGTAAGAGATCTTCAAGGAAAAATAAATCAGCAAGAAAACTCCTTTACTTTAGAGAAACTGAAGCTTGCCCTGGATGATCTGGAGAAGCAACGAGATTGTTCGCAAGACCTTTTGAAGAAAAGGGAACATCACATTGAACAACTGAATGAAAAGTTGAGCACAACAGAAAAAGAGTCTCAAGCTTTATTGAGTGCTCTGGAGTTGAAGAAGAACGAGTGTGAAGAATTGAAAGAGGAGAGAACTCTGTTTGCTCATTGGAAAAGTGAAAGAGAACACCTTTTAAATCAGATAGAATCGGAAAAGGAAACATTACAGAGTAAAATTAATCACTTGGAAACTTGCTTGAAGACTCAGCAAATAAAAAGTCACGAATACAACGAGAGAGTGAAAACAATGGAAATGGAAAGAGAAAACCTGAATGCTGAGGTCAGAAACCTTCACAGTGTGGTTGACAGTAAGAGTGTGGAAATAGAAGCACAGAAACAAGCTTATACAGAACTCCAGCAGAAAGCCAAGCTCTCAGAGCAGAAACATGAGAAGGAAAGAGAAAATATGTGTTTGAAAACTTCTAAGCTTACTGAACAAGTTGAAGATCTAGAACATAAATTTCAGTTACTGTCACAAGAACTAATGGACAAAGACCAACGTTACCAAGACTTGCAGGCTGAATTTGAGAACTTCAGAGAGCGCCCGAGATCCAAAGATCCTTCTCCTGAGATAAATGAGGAGCATCACAGTAGTGTTTCAACTTTTGTACAGCAGGCTGCAATGAATAACTCCCTTTCAAAGACAATTGGAGAACCAGAAAGCATGCCTTTAGAAAGCAGCAGATGCCATCCAGAAGCAGACCAAAGCTCCTCAGACTCTGCTGTTTTACAAAACAGAGTTGCTTCCCTCGAGTATTCATTAGAATGTCAAAAGCAGATGAACTCAGATCTACAGAAGCAATGTGAAGAGTTGGTGCAAATCAAAGGAGAAATAGAAGAAAATCTCATTAAAGCAGAACAGATGCATCAAAATTTTGTGGCTGAGACAAATAAGCCCATTAATAAGTTACAAGAAGACACTTCTGTTCATCAAAATGTTGTTGCTGAAGCTCTAATTGCCCTTGAAGACAAGGAGAAGGAGCTGCAACTTTTGAATGAAACATTGGAAATTCAGCAAGCAGAGTATCAGAAATTAAAAGAGAGCAGTGGTCTACTTGAAGACTCTCTAAGGGAGCAACAACTTTTGTCTGAAACCTTGAGCTCAGAGAAGAAAGAAATGGGCTCTCTCCTTTCTCTAAGTAAACAAGAGATTGAAGAACTAACCCAAGAAAACGAGAGTCTGAAGGAAATGAATGCAACCTTGAACCAAGAGAGAATGAACTTGCTCCACAAAAGTGAGAATTTTTCCAACTGTGCTGAAGAAAGAGAGAGAAGCATTTCAGAGATATCTGATCAGTACAAACAAGAAAAACTTATTTTACAACAAAGATGTGAAGAAACAGAAAGTGCATTTGAGGGTCTTCAAGAAAACTATGAAGTAGTACAAGAGAAGAACTCTAGATTAGAATGTTTGCTGAGTGAGTGTACTAGTCTTTGTGAAACCAGAAAGAATGAGTTAGAACAGCTCAAGGAGACATTTTCAAGGGAACACCAAGCACTCTCAACGAAATTAGCTGTAGCTGAAGAAAGAAACCAGAGTTTAATGCTGGAGTTGGGGGCTGTGCAGCATGATTTGAGATCTGAGATGACAGATATCCAAACCAATTCCAAGGATGAGGCTGATGGGTTAAGGCAGGAGATTATGACTTTAAAGGAAAATCAAAGTCAGATGCAAAAGGAAATTGATGCTTTACTGGAAGAAAAGGAGAGCTTGATGAAATTAAAGACTGAGCCCCAATATCAAAATCTAGAATTGGCACCAGTCAGCAATGCTGTGAGAGAAAGACAGTGTGCGATAGATAAATACAATGCTGAATGTCAGATGGAGCTTGACATTGACGGCATGCCTCTAGACAGTTATAATACACACTCAGGAGAGTTGGAAGCTGTGATAAGAAACATGAAACTAAAACTCGAGGAAAGTGAGAAGGGGAAGGCATGTCTGCAGCAAGAATTACACAGGATTAGAGGAGAACTGGAAACAGGAAATTTGAAACAAGACACTCAGTCACAAGAAATTTGTGATTTTAAAGATTGCGAAGTAGACAATGAAGAAAAGTATGTATCTGTGCTTCCTGAGCTGTCCGCCAGTCAAGATGACCCCACACATCTACAATCTTCTTTACACACCGTAATGACCAAGCTGAATGAGCTAGAGAAAATGTGTGAAATATTACAGGTGGAAAAGTGTGACCTAACATCTGATCAGAATGACTCAGGATTAGAATCTCTTACAGCGACCAGCAAAATAACAGAAGTAGAGAAACTAGTAAATGATGTTAAAATATTAAACGATGAAAATGATCTCCAAGGTGAGTTAGTGAAACAGATGCCAGAAGAGGATTTTGATGAGCAGCAAAATGAGCAGAAGCCTCTGTCATGGAGTCCTTTGGATGACAGCAGTTTCCAGGAGCACTTGACACTGTCAAGCAAAGAACTTCAAATGCATTTTGTTGAATTACAGGAGAAATTCTCATCTTTACAAAGTGAACACAAAATCTTATATGAGCAGCACCATCACATGAGTTCAAAGATGTCAGAACTTCAGTCCTATGTTGACACATTAAAGGCAGAAAATTCAGTCTTGTCAATGAATCTGAGAAACTTGCAAGATGACGTGGCGAAGGATGTGACTGCGGAGGGACGTATTCTGTCACTGTCCTTCTCTGGTGTGACTGATAACTCTCTTCTTAAAAGTTTTGGGGAATTCTCTTTTTCCAAAGATCTTTTGGAACAGACAGGAGAAATATCTCCTTTGAAGAGTTTAGAAGACAGTGTTTCCGTGAAGCAGTCTGATTCGGATGAGATAACCTGTAGCAGCCTGCAGGAGGGGAGTCAGAACAAGGAAGACATTCCCTCTGCCCCTGTGACGTGTATTGGAGACCTTGAGACTCTTTGTCAGATGTACCTGCAGGCCCTCAAGAAGTTGGAGCAGGAAATGGAAAGTCAAGGCACTATGAAGAATAAAGAAATCCAAGAGCTTGAACAGTTGTTAAATTTTGAAAGGAAAGAGCGTGATTGCCTTCGAAAGCAGTATATGTCAGAAAGTGAACAGTGGGAACAGAAGCTGAAAAGCGTGACTGTGGAAATGGAGTCTCAGTTGGCAGCGGAAAAAAAGCAGACTGCACACCTGTCACTTGAGCTAGAAGTCGCACGACTCCAGCTACAAGGTCTGGACTTAAGTTCACGGTCTTTGCTTGGCACTGACTTAGAAGATGTAAGTACATGAGATTTACATGCTATTTCACACTATTTGCATAATTTATATGTACAGTTCATGTTTGCTGAATTGAAACCAATATTTCAGTTAAGATTTTTAGGGCTCATGAAATAACTAAATATATACCTGCTCTGATTCAGAATGAATAGAACTTTTAGAAAATGAGTATGCCTTATATGGGGACACTTCGTTGGTTTAACTTGTGATTGTTAATTGCAAGTAAGTTGATTTTTAGTCAAGGTAACCCCATGTATGTAGAGTTGACCTATTCTGGGGGTTGCAAGACTGACCTTTTGGGAGCACATTGGCACACCTGTTTTCCCGGGTGTGTCTGGCCTGGTTCCAGCCACTGCCCTTTTGTTAATTGTTCCATGCTTAAGCACTTGGCTCATCGTGTCCAAACTCATAGCTGACTTATGGCATTGCTGAGTGTGTCTGAGTAGAACTGTGCTCCATAGCATTTTAAAGGGCTGATACTTCAGCATTCTTTCCGAAGTGCTTCTGGGTAGATTAGAACCTCCTTTCGATTAGTAGTTTGTGTGACCCAGAGACTCCATACTATTACATGGAAAATTATTAGAGATGGTTTTAAAGTCTCCTGGAGAAAATTAGAGTATAGAGTCAAGTCCTCTTTAGGATGTGTATGTGCTTGTTCTCTGTGAATTAATAAAGCACAATTAAGTATTGGATTTGAACTTAAGAATTACAAGGTGAGGTAGAATTTAATCTCGCATACTGCTTCAGACACTTTTTAATGTTACAGAATAATAGTCATGAAATAGATGTAGAAGATTCTCATATATATTACCAAAGTTCCTCTCTTAATTTACAATGATACAAATAGATGGTTTGATACCATTTAAATAGTCATTTCTTTAATAAGTAGTTAATTATTGACTAATAAGCTTGACATTTTTTAATTCATCAATCAGCATAATAATAAATGTAGTATAGTATAGGCATGTCACTTGATACCCTTTGTTTTCTTCTGTTATGTATGGAAGGCAAGCAATGGAGGTGGGAGTAGTCATAGTAGCCCCTGGGAATCTTCATTGTACAGATGAGAAACAGTGAATCTCCAAGACACATTGCTTGCAAGTGCTAGGCTAATTCTTTGGACTAGGAATCTGGTCATGAAACTTTTTCTTAGACTGAATACGATAAATGCTTAAGATGGAGAGGGAACATTTTGTGTGGAATTTGTTTGCTTATTTGATAATTGTATAGGAAAAATTTAAGTTGGGGTTGGGGGATCCTATTTAGAAATCTCCTAGCAAGAATAGAACAATGAAATTTAAATGGCTTGTGATTTAGATGGTAAAGTCAATGGCCTTTCTTCCTGATATATCTTACCCATGATATGCGCCTTCTCCCAGAAAGCTGGCAGTTTACTTGTGGTAGATCTGAATGGAGAAAAAAGTGTGGAGGACATTGTCACTTGAGTCATCAAGAGAATGTGTTTAGCTGAAGCGAGAAGCTAATTTCTTTCTTTGTTTTTATTTTAAAGAAGCTAATTTCTATAAAGTAATAATTAAGCTTCCTATTTTCTATTTTGTTTCTGCATTAATAATTCGTTTTTTAAAAAGCTTTATTCTCCCTTAATTCTCACATAATTCAGTATTTCAGTCATATCAAGAAGACTTGTACATTCATTGCCACAATTGATTTTAGAATGTCCACCCCCCATGGTTAAATAACTTTTAAAATGAGTTGTGCAATTGCTATCAGTTTTAATAATTCTGTCTTGCTATTATATTTACAGGCTATTCAAGGTGGAATTGAGAGTGGTGACATAAAAGAATCCAAAGAACATACTCTAAAAACTAAAGGAAGAATACCAAAGCAAGACATTCATCAAATTTGTGAAAAAGACATTCAGCAGGACCTTAGTCTGGAAATGGAGAAAATAACCGAGACTGGTGAAATCAAGCAGACCAGAAAATGGTCTAGGGAGCAGTCCTTGGAAACGAACTGTACAACTCCAGTACAAGACAGAACTCAGGACTGTTCAGAGTGCATTTCTGAATCATCTCTCTCTTATTCTAGTGCTTTAGTGCCTACAGATTTTCTAGAGAATCAGGTAGCCATTCAGAATCTCCAACTACAGGTAAAAGAGACATCAAACGAGAATTTGAAATTACTCTGTGCCATAGACGAGCGTGACAAAAAGCTTGAAGCTTTGCTAAATGAAATAAAGGAATTAGTTTCACAAATTGATTTACAGAAAGTACAAATAACGACCAAGATTGAGGCATTCATAGAACTGGAAAAAATAGTAGAGGAACTTAAGAAAGAAAAATCAGATTTAAGAGAAAAATTGGAATTGTTCTCCTGTGGTAACTCAGAGTTATCTCAGAAAGTAAAAACTTTGGAAGGTTTCAGTTCTAATTTAGATATGACTGATAAAGTGTCAGATGAAATTATTGAAGATAATGTAGCCATGGTGAATGACAACTGGAAAGAGAAATTTCTTTATGTAGAAAATGAGCTTGAGAGAATCAAATCTGAGAAAGCTACCATGGAGCATCACGCTCTCTCCATGGAATCTAACATGGAAACATTTCAGACAGAGAAGCTGTGTTTACAAAAGGACATTGAAAACAAGCAGAATGTTATAACCTCTCTTGAAGAAGAACTCTCTGCTGTCGCAATGGAGAGAAATCGGCTTCGTGGAGAAATAGATACTGTGTCAAGAGAAAACAAAGAACTGAGTCAGATGTCTGAAAAGATGAAGGACAAAATACAAGACCTTGAGTCTCGTAATGGTGACTGTCTGCATCGCATTCAAGTTGTGGAGGCTGAGATCGAGGCGAAGACAGCACAGCTTCAGACTTTGTCCTCTGATGCAAATGGGCTGTTAAAGGAGAAAGCTGATCTCCAGGTGCAATTGCATACTTTGGAACAGGATTCACAGGTACTCTCTTTGGTAAAAGGTGATCTGGAAGACCAAATTGGACAATTGAATACAGAGAGAGACTTGCTTGTAAGGGACTTAGAAAGCCTGCAGAAAAAATTGAATCAGTCAGAAGATGAAAAAGTTACCTGCTCTAAGGCCTTAGAGGCTGCATTAATGGAGAAAGGTGAGATTGCAGTGAGGCTGAACTCGACACAAGAAGAAGTGCACCAGCTGAGAAGTGGCATTGAGAAACTGAAAGTCCGGATTGAGGGTGATGAGAAGAAGCAGCTCCAGGTCTTAGAAAAGCTGAAAGAAAGTGCGCGTCATTCTGATGTCCTTAAGGATAAAGTTGAGAATCTTGAACGGGAGTTGCAGATGTCAGAAGAAAACCAAGAGCTTGCTATTCTTGATGCTGAGAATTCCAAAGCAGAAGTGGAGACTTTCAAAGCAAAAATAGAGGAGATGGCAGAAATACTGAGAGGTTTAGAATTAGACCTTGTCACAATAAGGTCTGAAAAAGAAAATCTGACGAAAGAACTGAAAGAAAAGCAAAATCAAGTGTTAGAATTGGAGCCCTTGGTTTCGTCACTTAGGAGCCTCATTGAAGAAAAGGAACAAGAGAAAATACAGGCAAAAGAAGAATGTAAGATTTCTGTAGAGTTGCTTCAGACCCAATTGAAAGAAGTAAATATGGAAATAATAGCCTTGTGTGATAACCAAGAGACATGTACAGCCCAAGACGAGACCCTGGACTCTCCGGCAAAGGAAGTGTGTCAACTGAGAAATAGCATCGAAAAGCTCAAAGTCCACCTGGCAGCAGATGAAAAGAAGCAACTTGATGTTTTAGAAACACTGAAGGAAAGTGAACAAATTACAGATTTACTTAAGGGTAGAGTAGAGAATCTTGAAAGAGAACTAGAAATTGCAGGACAAACTCGTGAACTTCTTGTTCTTGATGCTGAAAATTCCAAAACTGAGGTAGAGACTCTTAAAGCAGAAATACAAGAGATGACTGAATGCTTGAAAAGTTTAGAATTAGATCTTGTCACAGTAAGGTTTGAAAAGGAAAATTTGACAAAAGAGCTACAAGAAAAACAGTGTCAAATGTCTGAGTTAGACACGTTTACCTTTTCACTTAAAAGCCTATTAGACGAAAAGGAGCAAGAGAAAATACAGATGAAAGAAGAGGGGAAAACTGCTTTAGATTTGCTTCAAACACAATTGAAGGAAGTAAATAGGAAAATCCTAGCCTTGTGTGAGGACCAAGAGATATGTACAGCCCAAGAAGAAGGTCTGGGCTCTCCAGCAGAGGAAATCTGTCGGCTGAGAAGTAACGTTGAAAAGCTGAAAGCCTGCATTGCAGCCGACGAAAAGAAGCAGCTTCGCGTGTTAGAAACGCTGAAGGAAAGTGAACACAATGCAGATTTGCTCAAGGGCAGAGTCGAGAACCTCGAAAGAGAACTGGAAATTACAGGGGAAAAACAAGAGTTTGCCGCTCTTGACGCCAAGAATTCCAAAGCTGAGGTAGAGACTCTCAAAATAAAGATGGAAGAACTGGCCCAAAATCTCAGAGATTTGGAAATAGATCTTGTCAATGTAAGATCAGAAAAAGAAAACCTTTCAAAGGGGTTACAAACTGAGCAAGGGCGAGTATCTGAATTAGAAGGACTGAATTCTTCATTAAAAAATCTACTGCAAGAAAAAGAACAAGAAAATGTACAGATGGAAAAGGAATCTAAAGTTTCAGTGGAGTCGCTTCAAACACAATTAAAAGAGCTAAATGAAAAAGTCGCAGCTTTGTGTATTGACCTGGAGACATATAAGTCCAAAGAACAAAATCTGAGCAGTGAAGTAGATTCTCTTGAGCGCCAGAAGGCTCAATTGCTAAAAGGCTGTGAAGAAGCCAAGCATAATTATATTAATTTGCAGTCTTCTGTGGAGGGCCTCATTCAAGAAGTACAAGATGGCAAGCGGATACTTGAGGAGAAGCATGAAGAAATCAGTATACTAAAAAATCAAATTAAAAATCAGGAGCAGCTAGCTTCTAAACTGTCCCAGGTGGAAGAAGAACAGCAACTTTGGGAAAAGCGAAAAACAGAACTGGGAAATCTGACAGTAGAATTGGAGCAGAAGATCCACGTGTTGCAATCTAAAAATGCCACTCTGCAGGACACCTTAGAAAGAATGCAGAATTCTTACAAGGATATTGAGAAGGAGCTTGAATTGATGAAAATTGAAAAGATATCCTTTATAGAAAAGGTAAATGGCTTAAAAATTTTACATTTTTGTTGAAAATAATATTTTGTTTACATTGAGGGCTTACATAGCGGTTTAAGGTTCCCATTCAAAACGTTCTATGAAAGTTGTTCAGTGGCAGTTGTTACATTCTCCCCAACATGGGAACATTCTAACTTGTACTCTGGTTGTTCCACTTATATTGATCTAGTGTCCCTGCTCCCTTTTCATCTTTATTTTAAAGTAATTGTTAACCATTTAGGTCTTCTAGGGCGATAGTCTCAGGATGTCATCTAGTTTCTATTAGGGTCCAGCTATTGTGGCCCTAGTTAGAACCGTTGGTATTGGTAGCCAGCACCATTTAGTTCTGGCCTCAAGGTAGATGAAGCCCTAGTGTGTGTGGACTATCTTGTCATGTAGATGGATTTCTTCTCTGAATCTTTGATTTCCTTTCTCTCTTTTTCTTTTGTTCTCGACAAAAGAAAAAAGCTGTAATTAGATAACAGCTCACAGTTTACCAAGCTAGAATGTAGAACATCGTTTTGTGAACTGTATTATGCCAGTTGACTGAGATGTTCCATGAGCCTAAAACTTTAGGGCAAGGTTCTGTTTCTCATCTTTCAAATCTAGAAACCCAAGCGTCTGAGTGTTTGGTTGTTTAATCTCCTTAACATTTAAATGACACAGTTCTGGGGAGAGGACCTGCTATGTGAATTAGATTTTCATCTAGAGCAGTGGTTCTCAACTTTCCTAATGCCGCGACCATTTCATACAGTTCTTCATGTTGTGGTGAGCCCCCCTCCCCCAACCATAAAATTATTTTCATTACTACTTCAGAACTTTAATTTTGCTACTGTTGTGAATCGGGCGACACCTGTGAAAGGGTCGTTCAACCCCCAAAGGGGTCGCTACCCCCAGGTTGAGAACCGCTGATCTAGAGCGTGTGTGCCACTTTGGACTGACTGCATAGGCTTTAAGTTTACGGAGCCTTGACTGTGGGAGCCTTGTGCCTGCTCCTGAATAGTAATTCTTCTGACACGTTCACATGAGATACTTCATGGATTGATTTCCTTCTCATGTAGCACATTGGTGAGGTGGTGCATATGCACAGATCTTGATCTGAATTCTTTTTCCTTTTCTTTCAGTAGATCAGACTCGAATGTGTTGATGTCAGACCCCCAACCCACAGTATTCACTCATCATTGCAGAGTAGAATTGTTCCATGACTATTAAACTTTTTAAAAAAAAAATCATTTTATTAGGGGCACATACAACTCTTATCACAATCCATACATACATCAATTGTGTAAAGCACATTTGTACATTCATTGCCCTCATCATTCTCAAAACATTTGCTCGCCACGTAAGCCCCTGGCATCAGGTCCTCATTTTTTCCCCTCCCTCCCGGCTCCTCCTCCCTCATGAACCCTTGATAATTTATAAATTATTATTTTGTCATATCTTACACTGTCCTATATCTCCCATCACCCACTTTTTTGTTGTCCGTCCCCTAGGGAGGAGGTTATATGTAGATCCTTGTAATCCGTTCCCCCTCTCAACCCCACCCTCCCTCCACCCTCACGGCATTGCCACCCTCACCACTGGTCCTGAAGGGATCATCTGTCCTGGATTCCCTGTGTTTCCAGTTCCTATCTGTACCAATGTACATCCTCTGGTCTAGCCAGATTTGTAAGGTAGAATTGGGATCATGATATTGGGGTTGGGGGGGAAGCATTCAGGAACTAGAGGAAAATTGTATGTTTCATCGTTGCTACACTGTACCCTGACTGGCTCATATCCTCCCTGCCACTCTTCCATAAGGGGATGTACAATTGCCTACAGATGAGCTTTGGGTCTCCACTCTGCACTCCCCCTCATTCACAATGTTACGATTTTTTCTTCTAATGATGCCTAATACATGATCCTTCGACACTTCATGATCACACAGGTTGCTGTGCTTCTTCCATGTGGGCTTTGTTGCTTCTGAGCTAGATGGCCGCTTGTTTATCTTCCAGCCTTTGGATTATTAACCTTTATGGCAGCAATTCGCCCAGGTCACCCTTTGGGTCAGCAGTGCATCACAAACCACCCATGCCTTCCAGGCTCTTAGATGGAGAGCATACCAGACCAAAACCAGATCCTCTGCTAGCGAGTCAGTTATGACACATAGTGAACCCTGTATTGGGTTTCTGAGCAATATCTGTACAGGAGCAGGACAGCCCCATCTTCTGCAGAGTGGCTGGTGGATTTTGAATTGTAGACCTTGCAGTTAGCAGTCCCAAGTCTAACCCACAGTATCACCAGTGTTCCTCTCTCCCTGCATCTTTTTACCTTTAAGGAAGGAGAAAGAAAATAGAAAAAAATTTCCATTTTAACCAACAAAACACCCTGCCTCTCTTTTGGGGCTTTATGCATTCATTCCCCTCTGTGCAGCATTTCCTAGTCAGTTAGCTGTGACCAAGAAGCTCCATTATAGAGAAAAATTAAGTTTTGCCCAGTATGCTTACTTACTGATACAGGAAAGTGAATTCCTTCCATTTAAAATTTTTCCTGGACAAATATTAAAAGGAAAAGGGAGTATTCAGATATATAATTAATCCTAGCTCAATCTTTTCCAAAATTCTCAGGTTTTTATGGAGCTTGCAAGAGATGGCAGTTACTGTAGACTTGATTAGACGATTCATTTAAGGCTGTTACCCCTTCAAGGGACAAATCCAAACAGTGGATCTTCAACAGGTTTAACTAATCACAGGCATGTTCCTTGTAGATAAGTCTGGCATTTTGGATGGGCAGATATCCAAGAACAGATAAAAATCTAAGAAGTTATACAATATTCTTTGATGTTTAAATTTAATGTAATACCTCCATGCAGGCTTTCAAGACTTAGTAGTATTATCTCTCTTTATCATTCCTTTCAATAGCTGTCTGCTATTGTCATTGCTGAAGAGAAAAGGTAAGCTTACCAGTAAGTTTTCAGAACATTGGCTAAGTGGATTAGTAAACTGAACATAAACCAAGTTTCATTTAGTTATTAAAGAGGAAAGTAAATGTCATTAGTATGTTGTATCAGGATGATTAATTTGATTAAAACAGACATCCATTAATAGATCCTAAAAAAAGATTACTTTTCAGGTCAAAACACTGACTGAGAAGGAAGTGGAGCTGCAGAGGGAAATGCAGGAGCTGGTGCAGAGAACTGCAGTGGCCAAAGCAGAATCTGATGGAGAGAAAAACAGGCTCACCGAAGAGTTAAAATTAGTGCTGGAAGAAATCAAGAATATCAAAGTAAGTTCCTCTCTGGTAGATTCATTGAACGCTGATAATTCAGTGTGCACACTCATTGCTTACAGTATGATATGACATCAGTAATGCACCAACTTTTTTAGCTTTTGAATAAAATAATCCAGAGTTGATGTCCAGATCGGACTTGGGAGCAATCACGACCATCCTGCACTGTTAGGAGCAGGAAGGAGTCATGAGTGGCCTCTGAATAGTGAAAACACCAGTTATGGGGCCCAAGAATTTCTTCATTGAGGAGACCCTGGTACTGTATTAACTCATATCAGAAGTAGTTTTTATGACTCTGGTACCCTAGCTTGCCACAGATCAGAAGCCAGAATTTGCTAGAGACAGATGCACTGACAGATGCTAAGAACTAAAATAATAGCAGAAGGGAAGTCACAGTAAAATGTAGTGACAACCCCATGCGGGTGCTATTTTAGGGTCGGATTGATGTGGCAAATCTATAGCACGTGGGCTGCTACTTCTCTTGGCTATTTACATACCATATACGCTGCCATGGACTCGGTTCTGACTTATGGAAATCCCATGTGTGTCAGAGTAGAACTCTGTTTGCTAGGGTTTTCAGTGAATGGTGTAGAAGAATGTTGTCAGGCCTGTCTTCCAAAGTACTTCTAGAAGGATTCGAACCTGCTACCATTCAAGTGAGTACTAACTGTTTTTACCACCCAGAGACTCTTGCAGGTACATGCATTGCTAATTCATAAGTTCCTTTTCTCTTACATCATGTTGTACTACCCATAGTCGTGGCTGCCACTCAGGCAGAATGGGCAGAAGAATTGAAACCTGTCTGCTAAACCTAATTAAGTGGTCAGCGTTTATCCAGCTCCCAAAGTTCTCATGCACTTTTAGAACGGCAGCATAAAAGATAGTCATGATGTCTCCATATTAACACAAAGTGTTGATACTATATCTGTAATTTACTAGATAAGGAGTCAGGGAAATCTGTACTCTTTTTTTTTTGTTTTTCATACACGGTTTATTTAAATACAGTAATTTATTTACAGCAGACAACTTTGTCATTTCATCTAAGCAATTGACCAAATTTTCTGAACACTTCCTTTTTCTTGGGATAGCTGGTGAGCTCTACCTAGGCAGAAGTTCCTGTGATTGGTATTTGAATGGTAAATCTGCAGAAATCTCGTTTGGTGCTGAGAGGCTGGCACTATTCCCCATATGTTGTTATATGCATTTCATTCTTAGGCTTTGTTGTCATTAGTTGTTACCAAGTTGATTTTGAATCATATTGACTCCATGTGACATTGTAGAATTGCCCTTTGAAGTTTCCTAGGCTGTAATATTTATAAGAACAGATGGCCAGGTCTTCTGTAAAACTACTGGGTGGATTCTAATGACTAACCTTTTTGTGTGGAGTCAAGTGTCTTAGGCTGTACACCCCAAACTCCTTCCTTAGGCTCTACATGCCAAACTAAACTGCAGTCATGGGATTTATTGTTACTCATAGCAACACTATAGGCTGCCACACACTATTTCCGAGGCTATGGAAGCAGACAACTTCACCTTTCTTGAATGTAGCTGGTTGGTTCAAACTGCCGACTTTTTGGTTCGCAGCCAAGTGCTTAACTGTTGTGTCACTAAGGCTCCAACTTAGGCTCTACTAAGAGAAAACCTTTATGTTCAACCTTGGTGCCCCACATGTGAGTATGTTGGTTTGAAATGACTATGTATTCAAACTATAAATAATCAATGCTTCTAAATTCAGGAGCTAGGCTGTTGGACAAGACAGCTCTGGTTTTGGCACATAATAAATAGGTAATGTTTAAAATAATCTTAAACTCGTAAGTGCCCTGAAGGAAAGAAGTAGGTGTCTTAGATGTGGTTTGGGGGAGGAATGGGGTAAGTGGACATATTGAGCAACTTGACTTAGATGGCATGGTCAAAGAATGTCACCTGCAGGATGAGCCAGGGTGCGAGGCTTGGGTGGAAGGAGGAGCATGCAGGGTCTAATGAGCAATGTGATAAAAGCTCTGCTGTTAGAAAAACTTTGTAATTTAAAAACGTGCATGGAAGCTAACTGAATGAAGCCACAGAGGAGCGGAAATGAACAAAGATTGGAGAGGTAGGAATTAAAATAAAATGATTGAAAAGTGTCATCAAATACATTAGCCTGGAATGTTTTGAGAGATGTAGAATGGAAATGCTATTGTGCTATTGTGCTATTCGGGCACCTGTGGAGGGGCTGGACTTGGTGCCCTCACCCCTGGGTGGCCTAACAGCGGCCCGCCTAACCGACAGCGTCTGGAGGCCTTGGTGACCACCATCCAGGAGAGGCCTGGGGTTGGCCTTTCCACTCCACCCCCTGCTCTCCCTGGGAACAGCATGGCAGCCCTGGATCCCAACCAGGACTGCAACCCCCTCCCCCCAGTCCCCTGCCCTGTCATTGAGTCACTGAGCCTAGGGCTGGGAGGTGGAGGGAGCTGCCATCAGGAGGCCCACCCAGCTGCCAGCATCCTCCTGCTTGAGTGCCCCAGCCTCTGGTCAACCACTGGGGGTGCAGGCAGCTGGGAGCAGAGGTGGCCAACAGCCCTGGCCTGAGTGGAAGTTTGAAGTTGCCTTTGGAGGATGCAGAGGAATCTAGAAACATCTGGCTTCTGTACACTTGAGTTTATTAGGTTGCCATCAGCTATTACAGTTTTATGAAATAAAGGATTGTGGTGAAAAAAATATATATATATTAGCTAGATGTTAGTGGAAGAAAATACAGATGGATGTAAGATGTAGCATAGAGACACTGGAGCCTGTGAGGTAGAAGCGGAGGAATAATTCAAGAACACAAGACTATGAGGCAAACCAGGAGAGTGTTACTCTCTAGAAGTCTAGAGTGGAGGTTGTCTCGGAAAGGAAGGGATGGTCAGCAGCCATTAGGACTTCTGGGTCATTTGAAATTAGAACTGAAATATATCCTTGGGTTTAACAGCTCAGGTTGGGGTCAGTGATGCTCAGAAATGGTAGTTCAGAAGGTGCTGGGGCAAGGGACTGGGGAGAAGAGTGAATGGGAAATGAAGAAGTAGATATAGCATGCCTAGACAATGTTTTAAATAAGCTTGACTTTGAAGACCTGCTAGGAAATGGGGCAATTCTTGAGCAGATGTGGGTCATGAAAGGGCTTTTTAGAGTATGTTTCTGTGTTGACAGGAATAATGCAGTAGAAAGTAGACAGGGAGGCTTTAATGAATGGGACAAGAGCAGAAGGTCAAATAACTGGAAGCTCCACACCTTGAGAAGAAGAGAAGAGAGCATGGGTTCTCAACACATGAAATTAGATCCTAGCATCTTGATTTCGTTTTCTTATGCTTTATTTTATCTTGTCTATTGTGTTAAATATACATGTGACAAAAATGTTTTTCACTCCAATGATCTTCACATACAAGCTCAGTGTCATTGGTTATGTTCATCATGTTGTTTAACCATCACCCTTATCTGCTCCCCAAATCTTCCAGTGTTCTTAATAGAAGCTCAATGACCCTATAGGCATTGAGTCCTCCCCACACTCTCATCCCCCAGGTTGGGATTGGCTTTGCTATCTTAGAAAGAAGCTTCAAGAAGGAATGAGAAGGTGAGGTGTAGGGTCAGGGGTGTTGTAGGAATATGAGCTACCAGGCTACTTCTGTTCATCTCTGAGTTAATGAAACTTGTATATTTGTTGTGGAATTGTTTGTGTTTGAGACGAGGAGATAACCATGAAATGGTCCCTTTGAAGAATAGGAAAGGAAAAAGAGCTACAGGGTGGTATTGCTGATTATTTTTTAGAGGTTTCTATAAGTTTTCCCAAGAAACAGCTGTTTGGGGTTCTGTCAGCCCTGCACAGTGGTAGGAGAGTGCAACAAGAACTTGTGGGCATTTTGGAAGAAAACTCTTAACGATAGAACATGGAACGTAAACTTGGTTAAGGAAGAAAATGATGAATAATAATTCTGAAGGGGATTGAATGTAAAGGTGATGCTGGTTTTGGGGTCAATGAATTGTTGCAAAGGAAGTACTTGAGTGCTCAAACCTGGCAGTGTAGGAGGATATGGTCCCAGAGTGTTTGAATTGAACTAGAGATTGCAATGGTTCTCTGGTCTCTGGGGGTGTGACCTTGGTGAGTCAGTTTTGGGTTGGAACATAATACAGTGTCACTGGAGATACCACAATGTTAAATGAATGCGTTTCTTAGAATTATAGTGCTATTCTATATAGATTTCGTTTAGTCTGTAAACGGTTTTTCCTTACCACTAAGTATTTCCTAAAGATCTGTGTCCAAGTTCTCAATTTTACTTTCCTGTTTAGATTCAATTGAAGGACCTTATGCTAGAAAACAGCGAATTGAAGGAGAGTTTGGATTGTGTACATAAAGACCAGGTGAAAAAGGAGGAGAAGGTGAGAGAAGAAATAGCTGATTATCAGCTGCAGCTTCAGGAAGCTGAAGAGAAACACCGGACTTTGCTTCTCGATGCAAACAAACAAGTAAACTTGGGGTTTGGTTCCTGGAGACTGTGGGAGATGGGTGTGCTGGCATTCTAAGTAATAAGGTATATTTTGCAAGATCACAATTCTGCATTATTAGGAGGGACCACATCGCAAATCTTTTGTTAGGCTTTTTCTGGGTGGTCCAAAGGGTTTACACTTGACTGCTGACCTATAAGGGGTTGCCAGTTTGAACCCATCCATGGTGCCATGAAAGAAAGACCATAGAGACTGTTGTCCAAACCTTATAGAGGACAGAGGAAAATGTGAGGTCACTATTCATCAGAATCCACAGCAGTGAGTTTTTGGAGGCAGGGGCGGCGTTAGGGACTCTCTGATTACCTGTATGCTTTATTTCCTAACTTGAACTTTGAGAACATTTTTTAACATGGAGCAGAACAGGAGACTCGCAGTGACTACTTGCAGTGGTCCTTGGAACAGTGCTTGTGTTTTCCCGAGAAAGTAGAGCCTCCTGGTTGAAGTGACCTTTTTCTGCCCTAGCATGAAATGGAAATGCAGACTTACCAAGAGAAGTTGGCTTCTAAAGAAGAATGCCTCAGCTCCCAGAGGCTGGAGCTGGACCTCTTGAAGTCCACTAAAGAGGAGCTCAATAAGTCTTTGAAAACTACTAATGAAATGTTAGAAGAATTGAAGAAAACAAAGGTATGTGCATTTCTCATTGTTACATGTCTTAAATTGTTTTACATAGGTAATAGTTTTAAAAAAATTATGTGGCAATAATATAGATGACTAAAATATTTCCATTTTAACATTTTTTTACAGATACAATTTAGTGACATTATGTTCCTTATGCTATGCAATCATCACTCACACCCTTAACAAAAACTCAATACGCCCATAAGCAGTAACGCTCCACTTCCTCTCCCCAAAGTCACTGTTAACTACTAATCTTCTTTGGTCTCTACACATTTGCCTACTCTTGCTATTTTATGTAAGTGGCATATAATATTTGCCCTTGTATGTCTGACTTATGTCATTAAGCATAATGTTTTTAAGGTTCTTTCATATTACGGTATCTATTTGTTGTTATTGTTATGTCCAATCAAGTTTGTTCGGATTCATAGTGGACCCGATCAGACAGAATGAGACATTGCTTGCTTCTGTACCATTCTTTCAATTCTTGGCAGCCACGTGTCACCCCTCTTGGTGAGGGTTGTGTTAGTTGGGGTTGACTAGAGAAGCAAATTCATAGACACTCATATTTGTATAAGAAAGAGCTTTATATAAAAGAGCAATGTGAATTGAGAAAACAGCCCAGTCCAGATCAAGTCTATAAGTCCAATAATATCCCATATGTCCAATACTAGTCAATAAATTCCTCTTTAGACTCCCTCAGCACATACAATGATGCCAAATGCAGGAAGATCACCGGCCAGTGGGTAGAATCTCTTGTCGATCCAGTGTCAGTGGAAGCATCACAACACTGGTGTGGGTTTCCACAGGTATCCTCCCGCTCTCTGAGTCTCTCAACAGCAGGAAAGGGAAGGCAGAAGGAGTGGGTCTGGCTTCCAGTTAGTGATTTATCTCTGTTGCACCTCCAAATGAGGTCGTCAAGCTGTGACTGGATTGACAGGCTAGACTCCACCTCTGCTTAAGTTGACTGGAGATTATGTAACTGCCACCAGGGTCTTCCTTATTTTCCTTCACTCTCTGCTTAACTAAGGCTTACCGCTTTTCTCTAGGGATTGGTTTCTCCGTATAACATTCAGAGTACGTGAGATGAAGTCTCATCTCTTTTCTTGCCTGCTGATTCCATGGGTGTTGCTTGTGGAACCAAGTAAAATGAAATCCTTGACAACCTCAGTATGTTTTTCATGATGTTGCTTTTTGGTCTAGTTGTGATGAATATTGTTTATGTTGTGATGTAATGCACAGGAAAGGATGTCTGTAGTTTCTGGTGTTTATCAGTGCTTCCACTCTTCTGTGCTTTCAGCAAGCAAAAGTTGTGTCATATGCTTTTGCATGTTGTTAATGAGCCTTCCTCCAAAATTGGTGCCAAATTCTTCATATAGTCCAGCTTCTTTTTTGCTCAGTGTACAGACTGAATAAATATGGTGAAAGGATGCAATCCTGATGCCTGCCTTTCCCAATTTCAACCAGGCAATAATCTCTTGTTCTATTTGAATGATTACGTCTTGGTTTGTGTATAGGTTCTGTTTGAATGTAATGAAGTGTTTGAAATTTCCTCCCATTTTTTTTCAATGTTATCCATAGTTTTTTATGATGCACACAGTTGAATGCCTTTCGATAGAACCTTCGTGCACACCCTTCCTGTTGTTAAATACGCCATATCCCCATACTTTGTTTGAATGTCTGCCTCTAGTCCATGTATAGAATGCAGGAGCACGATGGAGTGTCCTTAATAGCATGTACAGCCCTTTTTTGGACTCCATGAGAGACTGGTTCAAGGAACTGCCACTTCCCAATACCAGAATTCACAGTTGCACAAGTCCCTTATTAAAATGACACAGCATTTGTTTATAATTATGCACATCCTCGTGTACTTTAAATCATCTTTAGATTATTTCTAATACTAAATAAATGAAATGTTTTGTAAATACCACTCTTTGCTTCCCCGTAGCCTTTGAGGATTGCTTTGACCACTTGCTTTTTACGAGCCATATTTCCCCACCTAAACGAGAGATTCACATAACACCAGAAGCCAAAGGATGAGCTGCTAAGTCAGTGGTTCTCAACCTTCCTCATGCCGAGGCCCTTTCATACAGGTCATGTGGTAGTGACCACCCCCAACCATAAAATTACTTTCATTGATACTTCATAACTGTAATTTTGCTACTGTTATGAATTGGGTGACCCCTGTGAAAGGGTTGTTCAGTCCCCAAAGGGGTCGCAACCCACAGGTTGAGAACCGCTGTGCTAAGTGAACAGTGCTCAGACAAATGTGGGGCAGAGACTGAGGATCTGTGAAATGTTGAGAGGCTACATTAGTGTATTCCTATACATTATTTCATTGATGTGTATTCAGTAGAGTGCGCTGTGCACAACTCATTGATATTTTACTTTCTGGAATGCTTTTATTTTGACTATTTTTAGTACTTGGTTAGTGCAACCTGTGGCTGCAGAAATGGCAGATAACAGAAACCCAACTGTTAGCACTTCATTTTTCTCTCTGGTAGAATTATACTTTATTGTGTGTATGTAAGGACTCTTAGTGGCACGGTGGTTCGAGGATTTGACGTGCTAATGCAGAGTCAGTGGTTTGAACCCACTAGCTTTCCTACCAGAAAAAGGTGAGACAGTCTGCTGTAGAGATGACAGCCTGGGAAACGACAAGGTGTAGTTCTGTTTGTGCTAAAGGACTGCTGTGAGTCTGAGTTGTTCCCATGGCCATGGGTTTGGAGTATGTACATAACACATTGCTTTTGTTCATCCATCTTATCCATGAGTTGATGGAGACAGTTGTTTCCCTCTTTTGGTTATTGTGTATAGTGCTGCAGTAAACATCGGTGTACATATCTCTGTGAGCCTCTGCTCTCAGGTCTTTGGGGTGTATACGTGGGAGTGGAATTGCTAGGTATGTGGTGGTAACTCAGTGTTCAACTATTTGAGGAAACTGCCAACTTGCTGTCCACAGCAGCTGCTCTTTTCCCACCGTCACTAGTTTTCACTGCATCTTCACCAACACTCTTACTCCTTAGGCGAGCAACGTGGCAATTTGCTCGTGGAGTGTGGGCAATTGTATTCTGTAAGCTGAGTCAACCTAGTGGTTGTGTGCTATATCTCATAATGTGGAAGATAAATCCCTGCCAGTGACGTTCTTTACTGGGAGACTTAAATTTTCTAATTAAATGCAAACCAATAACATTTAAAACAACATCATAAGTGATGTTTTTCTACAACAAAACGAGAGATTCTGGGTTTAAAACAGATGTGGTTTGGGGTTTATTTCTTTAATAATTTTCTGTTTGCTAAATCTTGTTTTGTGGATACTATTGATTCATATGCATATTGTGTTCAAAATGGTACTTTGCTAGTTGAGTATATCTTTTCAGATCCTGTATTACTTTAATTAGGTATCAGTTAGGCATTTTAAAAATTGAATTAGATGGATGTCCAATCCACTTATTGTTGGAATCAGGAAGAGAAGAGTCTGAAAGTGCAGCTTTCCTGCTGCATTTTTAATAACTTATTTCAAGGTGAAGCACACATGAGCTCTGCATCGCATAGCGACACGAATATGATGATGTATCATGAATATGTTGCTCAGTCTTTTGTTTCCCCACTCCCCTCTTTGTTTCCTCTGCCTATACATGTTAATGGTCCCTTATCAAAATCTCTGGCTGTTAGATTGTTTTGGAATTCTGCATCTTTTAAGCTATTGCAGAATATAATGCATATACTATATGTGATAGAGAACCCCAGTGGTTATGGGCATTATTTCACACTGAAATGCTATCATATTTCTATAGTCAACTATGTAGACGTTCGCACAAGATAGGCTGATGTCTGTAAATACCTTCCTTTCTCCTCAGGGCAGGTTTCCCTTCTAAATCAGTTCAGAACTTCCTTTGGATATAAGTAAGTGTGATATGAACCTGTACTCTTATGAAGTGTCTGATAACACAGCTCCCCCAGCATTCGATTCTATTTCAACTCTTACAAAACTTAAATTTGTCTTGTGAGTAGCAATGTCAGTCTTCATTTGGTATGACTAAAACAAGTGCAACATTAGTGAAATTGACCCGTCAAGATTTGTCTTTGGGTACCTGAGCCTCACCGTGTAAGTGTGATTTCCCATTGATTCACACAGAAGTATGGCATTATTTTAGGAATTGTGATTTATGCTTGTTGAGATTATGTAAGGGGTGGCAAAAACACATTTATTGGCAGACTTCAGAAAGCAATTTTTTAATGCATTGTCTTATGTTTTTCTGGGCATAATCATTATCATTCTTATACTTAAAATATATGATTCCTAATTACATCTGTTAATTGTTTTGCTATATGTTCACCAAAAAAATTTATGATTTTAAATGAAAGTATTTGTGTTTTGCAGATGGACAACTTAAAATATATCAATCAGTTAAAGAAGGAAAATGAACATGCGCAGGGGAAAATGAAGTTGTTGATCAAATCCTGTAAACAACTGGAAGGAGAAAAGGAAATGTTACAGAAAGAGCTGTCTCATCTTGAAGCGACTCAGGAAAAACAGAAAAGAGGTGAGTGTTCACTGGAGCAGCAGATCGCCCGTCCTATATGATTTTCCAATAGTGAAATTTAGCACAGGTATGGTGTGCATGGATTAGACAGTGTTTCTACTTCTCTGTTACTTAGTGCTGACTTTAGCAGTTATCCATCTCCCAGTTTCCGAACTTTGTACTCATCTGGGATCATTGTGAGATTCCGAATGAAGCCGAATGAGGTGGGGGTGGTGGTGGTGGGGGTGGTGAGTGTGTGTGTGAGAGAGAGTTCATCTAAGTAGATTCTGTCTCTGAGGCAGACTGGTATGTGAGCTAGCATTACTAATTTGCAGACAGCTGAGCTTGGTTCCCCTTGATCTGTCCTTGGGAGTGAACCAAAAGGAAAGGAAAAGGGTAATTGGAAGGCAGTATAAAGTGTATTGGTGATTCATGGAGTCTCTTTAATGGAATTGATGCCAGTCATGGCAGCTCAAAGTTGCCCAAGATTCCTACGCTTTATGTTACTTATCACCTTATGTTTGTCCCTTCCAAATAACCTTGTCAGTTTTTAAAAATTTAACTTACCTCCATCCTGTTTTCCAAAGCTCTCAAACACTTGTTTTCTTACATTATTTTACTCTTCACCCACTTATCGTGGAAAGAATGGACCAGAGGATAACAGAAGGAGATAGAATGAGTTATTAAATATTGTATGAGTAACTCTAGAGGAAATATGATGGGTTGGTTAGATTGCATTTGGGATTTTGGTGGATTTTTAAAAAAACAATTCCAGTAAAAGTTGTATGCTCTATCAGAATATGCATCGATTTGTTTTTGTTAAGTGCCTTTGAGTCAACACCATGTGACAGAGTAAAACTGTCCCATAGAGTTTTCCTGGCAGTGCACTTCATGGAAGCAGATCTCCAGGTCTCTCTGGCCGAGCTACTTGGTGATTTCTGACTGCCAGCCTTTCGATTATCACCCAGGTGTTTAGGCATCTGTGCCACTGGAGCTCGTTGTACCTTGATATGATACCAACTTCCCCATCAAGCAAAGGAACTGAAAAGCAAAGCACCGATGTAATTGTTATCCTGTTTTCAATGACCACTGTTCGCTAGAGAAGCATCAAGTTATTTGTATACATGATGTGTTAACTTTATTTTTGTTAGGTGCTGTTGTGGATGCTAATGTAGATGAATTAATGACTGAGATTAAAGAGCTCAAGGAAACTCTTGAAGAAAAAACCAATGAGGCAGATGAGTACTTGGATAAGTATTGTTCCCTGCTTATAAGCCACGAAAATGTAGAGAAAGCAAAAGAGATGTTAGAAGCACAAGTTTCTCGTCTGAGTTCTCAGCAGTCTAAACGTAATCTCCGAAGTTCTTCTCCATTGTCAAGCTCAGTTGTTCCAGAACTGTCTCCAGCCCCATCTGTTAATGAAAGGAAGATGTCAGCCAGCCAAAGTAAGGTTTCAGGCAAGAGACAGCGGTCTAGTGGGATTCGAGAGAGCGGTGGTGGACCAGCGCCTTCCACACCAGAGACGTTTTCTAAAAAGAGTCGGAAGGCAGCCAGCAGTGGTGCTCAGTCTGCAGGTGGCACAGAGGACGCTGGGTTTGAGCCAGAGGGGCTTCCAGAAGTTGTAAAGAAAGGTATGCATAGTCTTGAAAATCCAGAATGTAACGTTAACTTGTGCCTGAAAAGATCGAAGTGTATATATTTTATGTTAGTAGGTAACATTACTTTAATTGACTTTTTGAAAAGGTAATGCGCTTATAAATTGGACCACATAAATTATATATAAATCCACAAGGTGGTTTTAAAAAAGCTAATGGAAAATGGAATTAAAATATAACAGGATTTCTCTAGACTCTTTGAAACCACTTCTTGTATACCATATATACTCGAGTATAAGCCGTTTCCCAGCACATTTCTAATGCAGTTTTTTATGGTAAAATTAGGTGCCTCAGCTGATATTTGGGTCGGCTTATACTGACTTTAAGCAGTACTTATATATGAAGGTAGTTCTTTTGTAACGTTACTATTATGAAAGAATAGGATCTAATCACTCCTGTTACATTACAAAAAGAGTTGGTAGACATAAAATGTAATCATCAAAAATCAGTTTGGAACCTGGTGTTTCTCTGTTGGAAGTTCCCCAAATCGAGGACAGCTTTGCAGCTTTCCTAGCTGTGTCCTAGCTGACCCTGCACTAAGACTCTGAGTGAGCTGGGTGGCATTGATAATCCTGGCCTTGGGGATGGAGCCACTTAACATGCTTTCTGTCATTGTTTTTTTTTAACCCAATTATTCTCAGCATGGCCCACAGAACTGGCCAGCGTAGAAATTTTATTAATGACTTAATGACAAAAGAAGTACAGAAGTTGAGAATATGAGTTTAGAAACTTTAACAACCATCTGACATTGTCACAACTTAAAAGACTGTAGTCATTTCCCTACTGATTTATTCTTTCTGTGTTACACAAAAGGGTCCTTTCTCACTGGTTGAGCTATAATACATACCTGCATGTGTGGGATCCAAATGGGTTTTCTTTTTTTCTTTTCACCAAGCATGAAAAAGGCAGGTTCTTAGTGACATTGAGCCCCTAAAAGTTAGCACCGTCTTCCACATGGATGATTGTTTAAAAAAAAGCCCCCATCAATGCTGCTCTGGCATCTGCATTATCTGCTTTTTTTCAGTTGTTTCCAGGATCGACTCTCTCCTCCCTCTGTGAGGGGAGACTGAGCAGCGAGAGAGAAATGCTTTTAGTACAGTCCTATCTCCCCTCAACCCTAGCCATGGAATGAAAATCCCTTCCATCCTACCCCTTGTCTCTCCAGTCAGAATTTGAACTTCAAGACCTGCTGATGTCTTTAGAGCCTAGAAAATGGGAAAACACCATCCACATGAGAAGTAGCAGCAAAGCCCCTGCCCCCCAACTCTGTTTAGGTGTTTCCCCCTTTTCCACTGTGGTTACTATCTTTTTCATCAGATAAAACCTGTGTATATAATTTGATCACTCCATAGACAGCAGTGAGCTTTGGAATTGTCCTCGTTTTTTATTACAACTTTACCAGGTGATTATCATTTCAAGAGCAGATTGATCTGGACAGGTCTCTGTGGAGGTCTAGCCATTTCTGACAGCTTTCTTGCCCTTAGGGTTTGCTGATATCCCCACAGGAAAGACAAGCCCATACATCCTGCGGAGAACCACCATGACCACCAGAACCAGCCCGCGCCTTGCTGCACAGAAGTTAGCACTGTCCCCCTTAAGTGTCCACCAAGAAAATCTTGCTGAGATCTCCAAACCAACAGCTGGTGGCAGCAGATTACACAAGGTAAGCTGCTGCGACCGCTTACTGTTTGGAATGTGGGGGATTGCTGTGTTGCTGAGCAAGTCTAGACTTCTGACTCAGGAGCTCCTGGTCTGTAACGTCGGGACTTTTCTCAGTGTGTATAAATCAGTGAGCCATGAGGAAAGTGGAGAGCAAGCTCGAGTATAACCCTGACATTATCCTGCTATACAAGCTCCTCCTTGACTAAACATGCCACTTATAGAGTGATGAGAAATGGCAACATCAGATCCAGTGACTCAAAGAATTTTAAGGATGTCTCAAGCATTGCTCTTTGAAGAAATGAAGAGGTATATTTCCTTTGACCACAGATGTTGGCCGTTCTGTGTTTCACAAGTTTTACCTACTTTGCTCTGTTTTGATTAATTCTTTTCTTTTTGTTGTTATTTGTTTAATGAATACAAGTTACTGTGGTGACAGGTACTGATTTAGAATAAAAAGCTGATTCTGGAAAGCCTGACCACTTACAGATGTGTAACTGTGAAACAAACCTATTGAAGTTAAATTTCAGGAAACACAGTCTTTTTCGTTAAAATATGACTTAATAGGAGTTTGGCACTTTAAAAAAATCATTGGGAGCTCGTACAACTTGTCGCAATCCATACATACATCCATTTTCTTAAGCACATCTGTACATATGTTGCCATCATCGTTTTCAAAGCAATTTCTTTTTACTTGAGCCTTTGTTATCAGCTCCTCATTAAAAAAAAAAATCATTTTATTGGGGGCTCGTACAACTCATCACAATCCATACCTACATCCACTGTATCAAGCACATTTGTACATTTGCTGCAATCATCATTCCCAAAACATTTTCTTTCTACTTGAGCCCTTGGTATCAGCTCCTCATTTTTCCCTCCTCCCTCCCTGCTAGCCCCTCCCTCATGAACCCTTGATAATTTATAAATTATTATTATTTTGTCATATCTTATACTGTCTGAGGTCTCCCTTCACCCACTTTTCTGCTGTCCATACCCCACGGAGGAGGTTATATGTAGATCCTTGTAATCGGTTCCCCCTTTCAACCCCACCTTCCTCCCTCCACCTTCCTGGTATTGCCACTTTCAGCACTGGTCCTGAAGGGATCATCTGTCCTGGATTCCCTGTGTTTTCAATTCTTATCTGTACCTGTGTACATCCTCTGGTCTAGCCAGATTTGTAAGGTAGACTTGGGATGATGATGGTGGGGGTGGAGGGGAGAGAAAGCATTTAGGAACTAGAGGAAAGTTGTATGTTTCATTGTTGCTACCTGCACCTTGACTGGCTCATCTCCTCCCCACGACCTTTCTGTAAGGGGATGTCCAGTTGCCTACAGATGGGTACTGGGTCCCCAATATGCACTCCTCCTCATTCACAGTGATTTTATTTTTTTGTTCTTTGATGCCTGTTACCTGATCCCTTCAACACCTCATGATCACACATGCTGGTGTGCTTCTTCCATGTGGACTTTGTTGCTTCTCAGCTAGATAGCTGCTTGTTTACCTTCCAGTCTTTAAGACCCCAGATGCTATATCTTTTGATAGCCGGGCACTATCAGCTTTTCCCCCCACATTTGCTTATGCACCTGCTTTGTCTTCAATGATTGTGTCCGGAAGGTGAGCCTCATGGAATGCCAGTTTAATAGAACAAAGTATTCTTGCATTGAGGGAGTACTTGAGTGGAGATCCAGTCGGCTTCCTTAATACTAAACCTATGAATATATGCACATAGATCTATTTCCCCATCCTCATATATAAATATATTTACATATGTACATGCCTTTATTTAGACCTCTATAAGTGTCCTTTGCCTCCTAGCTCTTTCCTCTATTTCCTTTTACTTTCCTCTTGTCCCACTATCATGCTCAACCTTCATTTGGGTTTCAGTAATTCTTCTTGGTTACATTACCCTTGATCACGCCCTACCAGGCCTACTAAGCCCTCCTCACCACCGATTTGGATCACTTGTTGTTCCCTTGTCCCTGGGTTTGTTTACACCACTTCCTTCCCCCCCACCTCCCCCTCTCCCATGTCCCCCCGGAACTGTTGGTCCCATTGTTTTCTCCCCCAGATTGTTTGTCTAGCCTATCTTATTTAGACAGACCTGCGGAGATAATAATATGCACAAAAATAAGACAGAGCAAAACAAAGCAACAAAATAAAACATTTTATTTTCTAATAAAAGCACGTGTCATTAGGTGTCTGATGAAAGGAGTTCTGTTTCTGAATCTCTCTGTTGATTACTGAAGATAGTGATAGTCGCCTCTATGTATCTTGCAAATAGCTTGGTAATTGTTCAGTATAGCATTTGCCTAGCCGCTTGCTGACCAGTCAATTCTTACGCATAGCCACGATAGTAGGACAGTAGAACTGTGCCTTAGGCTTTCAAGGTTGTCAATCTTTACAGAAGCAGACCACCACATCTTCTGTGGGGTGGCTTGTGGTTCAAACTGCCAGTCTTGACTAGCAACCAATAGCTCAACCACCATGCCACCAGACCAGAGCTTAGCCTGGCCACCAAGACCTCATAGATTCCTGAATGCTGTTGTTGTTAGGTGATGTAATCTGCTCTGACCCCTTGTACACAACAGAACAAAACACTGCATAGCCCTGTGCCATCCTCAATTTTTCCTGTGTCTGAGCCCATTGATGTAGTCACTGTCTCAGTCCATCTTGAGGGCTGTCCTCTTTCTTGCTGCCTCTCTATTTTACCAAACATAATGCCCTTCTTCAGGGACTGTTCTCTCCTGACAATATGTTCAAAGTAAGTCAGATGAGTTCTTGCCATCCTTGCCTCTAAGGAGCCCTCTGGCCTTACTTCTTCCAATACAGATCTGATTGTCCTTTTAGCTGTCCATGGTACTTTCAATCTTCTTCTTTAGCCATCACAGTTTAAATGCATTTATTCTTCATCCAACTTTCATGGGCATATGATGCAATGCAGCTGTGGCTTGGGTCAGGTGTACCATATGCCTCAAAGTAACATCCTTGGTCTCCAATACTCTAAAGACGTCTTGTGCAGCAGATTTACATAATGCATCACATCTTTTGTTCTCTTGACTGGTGCTTCCCTGAGCATTGTGTTAGTACTGGTAGACTAGAGAAACAAATCCAAAGATAGGCATATTTGTGAGAGAGACCTTTGTATCAAAGAGTAATTTGTATAAGGAAACATCTCAGCCCAGTCCAGATCAAGTCCATAAGTCCAACATTAGACCATAAGTCTGTCCAATGCTAGTCCAAAAATCCTTCAGACTCATGAAGTCACATGCAATGATGCAAAGTGCAGGAAGATCACAGGTTAGTAGGTAGAAAGTCTTGTGGATTCAATGGCAGTGGAAGCATCTCAGCGTTAGCGTGGGTTTCCATGTGACTCCTCCAGCTCTCCTTCTGTGGCTCTTCAATAGGAAGGTGAAGCAGAGAGAGAGGGAGAGGCTCTCTCAGGGCTCAGCAAATCTGTGAGTGGCTTGTCAACAGGAAGAAGAAGGCAGAGAGAGAGGAAGTTGCTAGAATACTCATGGAAATGCCAAGCCCAAAAGGAGGCAGCATCAGGCTAGACTTTACCCTTATGCTTATTTATCAAGTGACATGAAATTGTAACGACCACAGTTATGGATCCAGGTAAGACAAAATCCTTGATGACTTCAACCTTTCCTCCATTTAGAATGATGTTCCTTATGATGATTTTGTGCTTCTGTACATGGAATTGTAATCCATGCAGAACAGTACAATCCTTGATCATCAGCAAGTGCTCTAATTCCTCCTCGCTTTCAGCAAGCAAGGTTGTGTCAACTGCGTACTGGAAGTTGTTAATAAGCCTACCTCGAATCCTGATGCTCCATTCTTCTTCCTCTAATCCTAATTCTCTGATGATTTGCTCTGTGTGTTGACTGAACAAGTATGATGAGAGGATACAACCCTGATGCATACCTGTCCTGATTTTAAAACATGCAGCATTCCCTTGTTCTGTTCGTACAACTGTCTCTTGATTCATGTACCAGTTTTGAATGAACACAATGAAGTGCTCTGGAATTTCCATTCTTCCCAAAGTTATCCACAGTTTATTAGGTCCACACAGTCGAATGCCTTGGCATAGGCTCTGAAACAATTAACATCTTTCTCGTATTCTCTGCTTGAGCCAAGATCCATCTGATGACAGCAATGATATCTCTTGTTCTACATCCTCTTCGGAATCTGGCCTGAACGTGTGGCAGTTCCTTGTCAGTGTATTGCTGCAGCCATTGGATAATCGAGCAAAATTTTACTTGTGTGTGATATCAGTAAAGTTGTTCTGTTGGTCACCTTTCCTTGAATTAGGCACAAATAATGATCTCTTCCTGTCGGTTAGCCAGGTAATTGTCTTCCAAAATTTCCTGGCATAGATGAGCAAGTGATTCTTGTACTTTTTCAGCTTTTTGGAACATTTCAGTGGGTTCCATCAATTCCTGGGGAGCCTGGTTTTTGGCTAATGCATTCAATGCAACTTGGACTTTTTTCTTCAGCACCGTTGGTTTTGCTCATATGCTACCACCTGAAATGGTGGTCTCTTCTTTCTGATACAGCGACTCTGTGTATTCTTTCCACCTTCTCTTGATGCTTCCTGAATCATTCAATGTTTTGCCTATAAAACCTTTCAAAATTTCAATATAAAAATATTTCAACATTTCAGCTCAAGGCTTGACTTTTTCTTGAGGTCTTTCGGTTTCAGATGCGCTGTCTTCTTCCCTTTTGGTTTTCTAACTCCAGGTGCTTGCACATTGCATTGAAGTAGCTTTGTCTTTTTGAGCTGTCCTTTGAAATGTTCTATTCAGCTTCTTGACTTCCTCCTTTCTTCCATTTGCTTTAGCTACTCTATGATTAAGAGCAAATTTCAGAGTCTCTTTTGACTTCCCCTTCTATCTTTTCTTCCCTGTCTTTGTAATGACCTGCTTTCAAGAATGATGGTCTTGATGTGCTCCCGCAGCTCAACAGGTCTTCTGTTATTAGTGTTCAGTGCATCAAATCTGCCCTTGAGATGTTCTCGAAATTCAGTTGGGAGAAACTCAAGGTCATATTTTGGCTCCTGTGGACTTGTTTTCATTTCCTTCAGCCTTATTGTGAACTTCTATATGAGCCATTGATGATGGCCTGTCACACAGAGGACCCCTGGTCTGGTTTTAGCTACTGATACTGAGCTTCTCCATCGTGTCTTCCCACAGATGTAGCTAATTTAATTTCTGTGTAATCCATCTGGAGAAGTCCACCTTTTGTATTGTTGTAAAACGTATTTGCTATGAATAAGTCATTGGTTTTTCAAAAGTCTACCGCGATTTCCAACTTCATTTCTATCACCAAGTCTATTTTCCAAATACTGTTCCCTCCTCTGTTTCCATCTTTAGCATTCTAATCATCGATAACTATCAGTGAAACTTGGTTGCATGTTTCATCAATTTCAGACTGAAGTTGTTGGTAGAATTCTTCAATTTTTTCATCTCTAACCTTTGTGGAAAGCCTATTCTGGAGTAGGGTTAGTGATTTTCCTTTATAGATGACTAGCAGCCACTCAATCCGACAGTCAGTACTTGTCCATTCCTGCCTGTCTCTCACTTTTGAGGAAGCATATAAGTTAATTGTCTCTTAAAACACAATATACCACCACATACCACTATCACTCCCTTTATCTTAAGGGAGCTCATTTAATTGTAATTACTTGTTTACATATTTGTAAATCTGTGGAATGAGTTCTGTGTGGTTACTTATTTTACCTAAGATTTGCCTGTGTCCCTGGTATAGTGCCTGGCATTCACAAATGTTTGTTGAATGAATGAAGCCTAAAGTCATCTTGTCCTGAAGTAAAGGCAATCCTAGTAGCTTGAAAGTATGGCAGAAATCATCTTATGAAATCACTACGCGGGTCTCTTTTCCTCTTCTTTAATGAGGAATTAGTGGTAAAAGCAGTTTGCATGTGGCGTTTTAAAGTTGCTATCCAGGAAAAAGAGCTTTGCACACTAGGGGGCCTGCTCTCCACACTGCTGCTGAGTCTGTTGACCAGGGAGTAGTAACCATGGTTTCCTGTCAATTTGTGTTCTGTGCATTAGCCCCCAGTAGTTTAGTGGCACCAGCAGGTAGGCATTGCTAAGCAATTTTGTGCAACCTGCAAATGGTAGGTTGCCCTTGAGGTGCCTTCATGACACAGTTCACTCTTCACAACCAGCCTAGTGGGTTTTAATTTAATTCATATTTTCTGAATCCTGAAAAATGCTTGCCTCATCTGTTAAACATATTTCATCATTTAGTTTTAAAAATGAAGGGCAAGTTCTCATTTCCTAGGGTAAAATTACTTAGAAATTCTGGATTATGTGTTCTCCCTGATGTGGCTGGCAGAGGTTTTAGAGAGATGATTCCCTAGGTCATTTAGGGGGTCTTTTAGTGACAGCTGTTAATCTTTTTATTTATTTTAAAATTTAAAAACCATTTTATTGGCGGTTCGTACAACACATCACAATCCATCCATCCATCTATTGTGTCAAGTACATTTGTTGCCCTCATCATTTTCAAAACATTTTCTTTCTACTTGAGCCTTTGGTATCAGCTCCTCCTATTCCCCC